ATTAGTTTTATAATTTTCAGCGTATTTACTATACTTTAATACCTAGCTATATCTAGCCTAGTAGTGACTGTATTTGTTACAGTTATAACATCTCTAGGAGCATTGGATTTTCTAGTATTTGCTAACTATAGCTATAATACTGTCAACTTTGACACTGCGTTTATTAAGGGCTTTGTAAGCATCTTTTACTATAGTGAGATAGACCACTATAGACCCTCTAGGTTTCTCTTTTTTAAAGAGCTAAGCTGCTTTTATAACATTTCTGAACTTGTTCTCCTTATTAAACTCAGCTATGATTTCTAATTGGATCTTATAAGTGCCAGGTATTAGAACTGATATTTTATATACATTATTGACCTTAATTAGGTAGAGTTCCTCTTTACAAATACAGGCCATTTTAAAAATTTAATAAACCTATTTATTATTTAATTGTAGCTGTGCTACGTCTTTTTTATTTTAAATAATAACCCTTATAGCCTTTGACTTCATTTGGATCCCTTTAATGTTAATATTGCATATTAATAATTAGGCTGCTATAGCTTTCTAGATTTTCTCCTTTATAGCTCTTTAGTCTTTTGTTAGCTTATATTGCTTAGCTATTATCTAAATAAAGTCAATTATAACGCTTAGAAGTTATTATAGCTTTTTAACAGAAGTAGGTAGGGTTAACAGCGTTCTATTACTTATATAAAGTTAGGTCACTAATAATAATGGGTTAATTGACCTCAATGCTGTAGATATATATAAAGTTAGTAATAATGCTGCTATATTAGGGTTAGCTAGGGACAATAGGCTTAACTGTTTAAAGGTCAAAAGGACTGTCCTTCTTTTATTAACGCTAAAGCTAATAGTCCAGACTTTAATATTAAAAACCTTAATATTAGCTTTCAGTTTAATAAATAAAAGTTCAAGTTTCTTCTTTAGCTCCTTAATCCTTATAAGTAAGTGTTTAAATCTCATTTTAGTGATATTAAGCTTTGTTTTAATAATATTAAGTTTTTTTTATAATAATATCAAATATCGCTAGCAAAGTGACATTCTCCTAGTAGAGAGCCTCAGTCTTATTCTAAAATTGCTTGTTCTAGTGTTAGAGTTGCTTATTCTAGTATTAGAATTGTTTAAGCATTTTATTAAGTTTGTTATTTTAAGCATTTACTACTTTTCTAATAAGGCGTTTTATTATATTTTTAGTAAAAACAACGTTATTATTTAGATTAAGAGAATAAATAGGTTGAATTAACCCTTTGCTGCTTTATTTAATAATTTTAATCTTTTATTAAGCAGCTATAACTACCTTTACTCTCTATAGAAATAGAGTGGGAGCAACTATAGCAATAGCGTTACTAGGATAGATGGGCAGCACCCTTTTCCTTAATTAAAATTAATAGGAGTTGGATTGATTAATTGATTGATTGATTATTTCATATGCTATGCGCTTGCCACTGGAAGCATAAGCAACTACTATTTACTATTAACTAAATTACAATTCTGTGTATAAAGCTTGTATCTCATTTTACAGCTTTATTTATTAGAGTGTCTGTGCCCCTGTTTTGTCTAAATGTTCTTTAGCAGTTGCTATATTTTATATATATATATATTTTTTTTCCTTTATATTCAGCCTTATCCTTGTCTTCTAACTCCCCTCCACTGTCTCCTGTTTCACCCTTTTAATTATCCTTTTCAGTTTTGTTCTCCAGCTTTCTATGCTCCTTTGCAAATTCTAATCTTCTAGTATTTATTATATATCTAATAGTTGCCTAGACTGTTTCTATATCCGCTTTCTATTAATCCGCTAGTTTGTCCCTATATAGTTATCCTGCTACTATATAGGGATTACGTTTTCCTAATATTTATAAAATATTATTAAATTTATGCTTTAGTGCTTTTACTAATTTGCGTTTTTAAATATTATATTTAGAATATAATAATATAAAATATTAAACTGTTTTCTCTCTTTATCTATACTTATATTAATTTAACTTTATAATATTAATTACTGCTAAGAATTTATTTAAGCAAGCGTGCTCTATTTAGAGCTATAAGAGGATAAAGGCCTCTTTCTTATTTATTATATTATAAAGCAATACTATATATTTGCCTAAAATAGCGCTATTTATTGCATAGAGGCTTCTATCCGCTTTTTAGAGTTTTTGTTATTCCTTAGCTAGAATTTTGTTTTAAAGGGTGTTCCAGACTTGTTTTACATTGTCTGGAATTATTTCGCCTATGCCTAACTTTATATAGCAGCTTGTCGCCTGCTTAGCTAGTCAGTTGGCCTCTATGTGTCCTACTATTGCGAACTTCTTTAGGATTTATTGAATGACTAGATGTTCCTTAAAGGTTGCGTATTTTCTAATTGTATGTAGAATGCTCTGTACTGTAGCTGCTCCATTTTGGCTCGTTTGGCGGTTGATCATGCGAATGGCTGTTTGACTGTCTGACCATATTGCCACTTGGGGGATTGGCTTCCCCTGGCTGTTCAATGTTTCTAGTACGATCCCTGCCAGGGTTACTGCTTGTTTGATTGCTACTAGCTCGACGGGAGTTGGATAGTCCGACTTGTCGAGTCAACTTGTAGATGAAACTGTCAATAAACTGATGAATATCGATACAAAATATCGATGTCGTTTTTTTTTCTCCTCAAGGCGCACTGCAAAGTGCTCCCGGGATGCTCTGGCCCCACCCGAGCGGGGTAAAACTAACTATCTAAGGATAGTCGGCAGGCATTTTCCCAACAACTAGGCGCTTTGGCGGAGTGGTTAACGCGATGCCCTGCTATAGATCAGCCGGTCTTAGTCCAGGCATTTCCTTCGGGAGCGTGTGTTCGAATCACACAGGCGTCGATGTTTTCGTTTTTATTTGCTGCTCGCTTCAATGTCTAACAAGATGGGGTGGGTTGGTCACCTTTTTGCTTATTGTTTGTCTTTTTGGCGTAGCTGTTTTGTAAGTGCCAACAGTAAGGTAGCCTAGGCGTGTTTGATGTTGCCTGCCTCGACTCCAGCAAATTATCGCTGCTTCGAAACACCGCGATATCAAACTGACCTGTCGCACATATGGCAGCCATACACAATCATATACACATCCTCATCGTCTCTTTTCCAGTGGTTATCTGCGCAATGAGAAAGTAGGATGTCTTGATTGCCAGCGCATCTCTGTAGTGCGAAACGAGACAAACATAACACGAACGTGAGGAGCACACTTTCAGAGGACGCAAATGATTAGAATCGGGCATATTTTCGTGATGGGAGCTATGAAAACTCAATGCACATAAAATCCATGCCAACCATTTCACGCAATGCTGCTTGCTTGGTATCAAAGCCTTTAGTAAACCCCATAACTCCAAATGTGTCAGCCCGGCTTTCCAATGTGCAGTGTATCTCAAGGCTTCTGGGCATTCCTCATAGTGTCTCACTTCAGGTCGTTTTTTGTGATGGCACCATCTAGTGAACCATGACGTCGGGTGCGGTGTGAACGCCCTCCTGGCCTTCGACCTTGTTCAAGGCAGCAGCCTTGTCAGCGGCGGCATCACCCATCTCTGCGTCCTCTTCGACATCTGGCTCCTCATCATCTTCCTCCTCATCCTCGCTGCCGGAACTCTCAGCCTCGAGATCCTCGCTACCTGCGTCCGAAGCAGCATCGTCGTCGGCGGGGACATTTTCAACAGCTCCTGCCTCACCCTCAACGCCATCCATTTCGACATCCTCGCCCTCGACGGGGACCTTCACAGCGGCTCCCTCTTCGGCGAGCTCATCTTCGGGGCCTTCCAGCTCCTCTGCACCATACTTGTTCTCGTCGTCCTCTGCAGCGTCGGCTTCGGGCTGGTCTGGAGGGAACTCGGCAGGAGCACTCTCCTCGCTGTCCCACTTGATTGCGAAACGAGTGACTCTGGGCTTCTCGGCGAGGATGACGCGGCGGACCTTCTCGATGACAGGCTTGGCTGGTGGGTCAACAGCAAGCTGCTCGTCGGTGTATTCGTTGTTGACGTAGTAGCCCACGCGCACAAACTCGCGGCCGTCGTAGGAGCAGGTGAGGAGAATGACAGTGACGCCGAGGATTTCGGATGAGGGGATTTTGGTGAGGGATGGAGGATCGGCTTCGAAGACGAATTTGTTGACGCCGATAGGGATGGGACCGACAAGGAGAGAGTCGAGTTCTTGGTCGTGTTCAGAGCTGGACGCGTCGTATTAGCATCGGTGGCCAGCAAGCGACCTTGAATGAGTGTCGTGAAAATAGCAAAGCACCATGTCTTGACTCAGAGGCACCTCCAATGTACCTCTGAATTACTGAAGGACACGGAGCATGCGGCAAGCCTGTCATGGGGACCGCTGCTTTTTACTAATTCAAGGTGGAAAAGAAATGAAGACTTACGACGTGGCAGATCCGACATAAGTAAGCTTCCATTCGAGGTCCTTCTCAAGCTTCTCGAGACACTCAAAGGTGATTTCGAATTCGTAAGGTGAGCTGAAAGGTGCTGGGTTGTTGCGAACAGCAACGTTGAGTAATGAAACTGCTGCCATTGCGAACGTGTTGTGTTGCGAAACGCGGTGGAGTTCTTGATGTGATTTCAAGTGTTATTGTTTTACTTTCGAGTGACAAGTGTGTTGTAAGGGGAATAGAGTGAAGAAGTGTGGTTGGCTGTGGTGAAGAAAGTGTAGTGTTTATTCGACAAAGATGAAATGGTAAAGCTATCGTCGCACAACACGCGCCGCGTCTTGCTCATTAGATTGATTTCGCGTCAAGCGAATCTTTGCTTGTCGCGTCTCGGGTCTGAACATGTGGAAGTTCAAAGACAACATCTCCAATACACCTCCTTCACTTCTATTTACAGCTGCCTTTTTCAATTGCATACAACATATGTGTCGCATTGAACACACATCTGAGTATCAAATAATTGCTTACAGAATGTCGACGTGCCTACCAGGCCACGGACATGAAGAGCAGTCAGTCGCCAGTATTTTCCCCAGAACTTGTACGCGCTTGTCACCGCCTTCGGACAATTAGCAGCTTTAGCTCACTTGGGAGAGCGCCAGACTGAAGTCTACTGCGGTTCAAAAGCATTCTATGCGATATCTGGAGGCACTGTGTTCGATCCACAGAAGCTGCATTTTTGCCTCAGTGTGCTTACATACTAACTAATTATCCTGACCTCGGCAGTTCCTCTTCTTTTTGCCCTTTGTTATAGTTCATCGGATCATCCAGCCACGGCTCGCCTTTCCGCTCCTCGTGTGCAATTGTTGAGATGTTCCTTTTAAAGGGGGCGTTGCTGCGTGAACGCGATATCCAGAATCAGACAATTCATTAGTCTGTATTACAACCAGCAAGCGGCTCTGTTAATCAATAATCGTGTGTCTGTGCCGGGCAAGTCGCTATCTCTATATCGAGATCGGAAATGAAGTCGATGCAATATGGTGGTTGCTCTTGCGCGCAGGAAGCGCTTCCGTAATGAGCTCGGCATGATCTACATGAGACGATCCTGGTGATCCATGTCCTTACTCTGGTGTTATAAACAAGGGGGACTCTCGTCCAAGCCTGGATCCCCTATATTCAGTGAGCGGCATAGTCGATTTACTGGCACGGAGTGAACAAAGTTTTGTTTCTATTCTTGTTTTGCTGGCTCATAGCAAGTTCGCGCTGCACACGGCGACCCTGTCTACTTCATCAGTATTCAAATTTGTTGTCTCATTATGGCTTTCGCTTGCTGTTGCATGACAGCAAGTACCGGTGATCGTAGCCATGCTCATGCTGAGTTGAGAGCTAGTACTTGCTGTATATGGGGACTATTATTGGTGTCGCGCAATTGGATGCCATCAAACATGTGTATCACAATTGCACTATGCATTGGGCTACAAGATTTACGTCGTACGACCGAACCAGTGGACATCATTTCAGAGTCATTACGAGCGGCACTGTACATATACCTCGTCTCATAGTACATTGTCCTTCAGTCATGGTTTCAATGTCAATACCGATAAAGGTAAAGGGTTGGCAGATGCCAGCTGCCACTCGAGCACCCCTCGCGAAAGTTGATCACATCCATGCAGGACCGAATTCAGCGGTTGTCACCTGGCAGCATCGGATGATCTCTTGACTTGAACAGGGACATTCTACAGCACTGGTACAGGCAAGACGGTGTTCAACGATGTAACACAACTAGAAAGAGCATAACATGAATTGTACCCACCCACAGCGCAACAACTCTCCCAAAACACAGCGCAAGTCTCTTCTTCACAACCCAGTCTAGAACGACCGAGACAGCAATGAAAAGTGCACCTCAACAGAGGTTGTAGTCCATCAAAAATTGCGCCATTGAAGCCCCCTATAATCAGAATTAGCAATGGAATTGGCGAACAAGAAGGTTCAAAACGTACCGAAGGAGATTCAAAGACGACCACCACCGCGCTGTGCAATGCAGGGCAGTCATCTTGAGGAGAGGCCTTCATGATCGCCCCCCTCACAACAAGGTAAGTATGACTTTTGAAGATGGGGCGGGGATGGACAAGAATTTATATGCCTGTCTATGACGCTAGCGTTCCAGTCATGTGACTGCCTGATGCGAGTGAACAGTCAGAATCGTCGATTCGTTCACCTATCAGACCCGAAAAGGCAGTACGAGCGTCGATCATCATCTGCTCGGCATCATTCACTTTCAATTCACTCTGACTCCCGCGTTGTTGTGAACATGAGTCACGCGTGATCTTAGCAGTAGAAAACCCCAGTCCTCCCTGCAACCTCTTCATCTCACCAGTCTCTTGCCTTATGGCTAAGATCAATGAGTAGTATCTGTCCTTTTCAGTTTAATCTCTGAAACACTCCTACGGGAGTATTTATTGATTATACTAGTTTTTGGAAATCGGTGGGAGGCGCTCTGTGCTCGCACATCCCTCTGACCACAGTGTCGCTCGTATTACACTACCTCGAGCTGATGCGAAGTACACTTTTCATTGGTCTTTCAGCCTTGGGCTGGAAGCTGAAGAAGACGGTCTTTGCGATATTCCTCCTAACACTATCAAGCTGCCTACACATGTTGAATTCGCCGTGCTCAATGCGCTGTTTGGGATGTATGACTGTCTCAGTGTGCGCGTTGCGACACTGGTAAAGACATCTAGAGGAGTGGGTGGGGTGCATGCTTGAGCAATCTCCCCTCAACTCCAAATTGATCGTTCTTGACAACGCGCAAGGTCAAGGTAGTAGTTTGGACTTCATTACATGCTTACAAGCATACCTCACGTGTAATTCAAAGATTCACACCTCCTCGGAGAACAGTCTTCCACCCTGTCTCAGTCCTCAGCTTCTCGCTGCCAACCCATTGACTAAACTCCGTGACCGACATCAGGAATCCCTTGCCCAGAAAATCAGCACTCTCCACGAACTTCGCTCCAGGCGTATACCTGACCTCCTGCACGCCGTCATACTCCGCTGCCAACGCATCGCCAATCTCTCGCAGCGTCTCATATCGACGTCCCGAAATATTGTATCCCTGACCTGTAACGACTTCACGCGGTGCTTCGGCATCTGCCAGGCAGGCATCTGCGATTTCCGAGACGTGTGTGCCATGCATGATGCTGTTCTCGTCAGCAGGAAATTGCAACACACCTCCCTCTGCAGCAGCAGCCTCGGCGGCTTCGAACAGGGTTTTGTAGTGGCTATTGGTCAGTTCATACCGCGTAGATGGAAACGTTAGCGTACCGTCAAAGAGGTCGGTATGATTGAGGACACCGACAGCGTTCTCAGTGCGCACACGAAGGAAAGAAGGCGGATTCATGATGAGATTTCTGGGTGAGGAGCGAGACCTGCAAAATCGTGAAAGGGAGTCATGCCGTAGTCTTTGCAGCCACTGGTGAATATGACCAGACTTCGAACGCCATTTTCAAGATCCGTCTTTGCAAGATTTCGAAGGAGGTGGATGGCTGGGTTGTAATGGACGAGCCAGCCATCCTAGTCTTCGCTTACGGTGACAATGATATCGAACGTTTGGGTATAAGTGTAGAGAGTTGGGAGGAATGACAGGTCAGTCGCTGAGCGATCGGCATGATTTCTGATGCTGAATTTTTTAATGCTGAGAGGGAGGTCGCACTGGTGCGAGAGCGGACTAGGCCGTAGGTTTTGTAGCCAGCGGTGGTGACTGTCACAAGAACTCTCTGGGGAGTCGACATGACTTTGAGATGGCTACATGATCCGAAAGAGAGTATTAAAAGGTAAGTAACGAGAACGTAAGCCTGCATGTACTATTCTGCGCCCGATAGGCGTTATCGTACGTGGCGTAGCGCAAAGACCATTTTTTTTTTTGATTACGATCAAGATCACAGCAATGACTACAACATTGTTCAAGAAATGCACATTTCTACTTGATGTCGAATAGACGCACTTGCGGATGCCCGTACAAGTCTCCCACATAAGATGACTGTATATAAGATAGAATCAGCCAACATTCTACAAGCCACTAGCTGTTTAACAGTTGAATCCTCCGTGGCGCAATTGGCTAGCGCGTTCGACTGTTAGCAAATCTTCGGATATCTGCGATCGAGAGGTTCCTAGTTCAAGCCTAGGCGGGGGAGCGTCTTTTTGCCATTTGCCGGCCTGCGATAGCGACCATTGTTTTTCCTTCGGGGCCTAGACAACTCCTTATCATTCACTTCTCTTTTGATCGCGTGTGCTTGACCTTTCACGGACGAGTCAATGCATTTTGTGCACCTGAAACGTTACAAGTAACGTATTCTCTTAGCTCTTCAACCGGATACCCGGCCAAGATTTCTTGGAATGACGCACTGACATGTGATGGCGCGGACTTCCAGATATTGACCCAACCACACCTTCTGTCAGTGAGTCTTCGCTGATATAACAACACTGATTCAAACACTATGGCATCTCTCCTGCGTGGTAAGCAGGTGGGCATTCAAAATGACCTCTCTGCGGGAATCATGCCCGATTTCTTTGCTATCGACGATGTAGGCAGATGCGTAAAGTAAGCTCCAGAACAAACACTGATGTTACTACAGGTAGCTCGGTATGGAATCAACTCCCAAATATGTGCTCTGGCGTATGAACCAGTACAGTCTCTACTTGCAGTTGGAACAAAAGAGAGCCAATTTGGCCCCGGGCAGATCTATGTCTTCGGCCACCAGCGAATTAGTATTATACTGGACCTGCCTCGTAGAGCCTCTGCCCAGACTTTGCAATTTTGTGCAGACAAGCTGGTTTGCCTGGATTCAAAACATGATCTTTCTATCTACTCTCTCGAAGCGAAGAAGTTGATATCCTCATTTTCACCGCCAGGCGTGGCTACAGCTCTTTGTACAGATCCAATGCTCGATTATGCGTTGCTGGGAATGCAGACGGGTGATATCCTTGCATATGATATGGATCGTGAGGGTATCGCTCCTTTTCGCATTCCCAATCTCTGGATAGAGTACGAACCAAGAGCTCGAGTTTCTCCCATCGTCAGCCTTGCCTTCCACCCTAGAGACATCGGCAAGTTGCTCATAGGCTACACGCATGGAGCAGCTGTCTACTCTTTCAAGCAGAACAAAGCTCAGCACTTCTTCAATTATGAAGTCCCCCCAGGCGCCCCAGGCGGAAATGCTGATCCTTCGTCGATGAACCTTACTCGCCGACCAGTACTTACCCAAGCGGTATGGCATCCGACCGGGACATTCGTCCTGACAGGACACGAGGACAGCTCTTTAGTCATATGGGATCCCAAAGATGGCAGAAAGATTATAGCCCGGACTATTACTGACACTCACATTGACCGACCAGGAGCTGCAGTTGCAGAAAGCTCAGGTGGGGCAATCAGTGTCAAAGAACCGATATTCCGTGTCAAGTGGTGTGCGAATGCGGACCCGGACGACACTGCCATTCTCATTGCAGGAGGTGCTTCTACGAGCTCTCCGACCAAGGCCCTGACTTTGTGGGAGCTCGGACGTACGCCAGTTTATGCAACTTCGTCCTGGGAGATCTTGGCCAATCATTTCGAGTCCCCAAAACGGCAGAGGATTTTACCAACTCCTCCCAATGCAGAGGTAGTCGAGTTTTGCCTTATACCTCGTTCTTCCCCACATTTTGCCGGTGCTCATGATCCTATTGCTATCCTGGCTATCCTTTCCT